AAATAGTAACTTTATTAAACTGTAGAGTTATAAGTCTAGTCTCAAGACTTATTCAGAAAACTATCTGATCGAACTCTCTTCGAACTCTGTTGACTCAAGTTCAACTTACAGGTCTATTTATATAAAATTGTTAACTAATACTATACTACGCCTTTCAATAAGTACATAAATGAAAATAATATAAGTAATGAAAAGTAGACTATATAATATTTATATTAAAAGCTTAACTATTCGATACATGTATTATAAAGTCGACTAAACGATACATGTATAACATGTATGATATTTGGCGCAGTTGAAGATCATTTTAAGGCACAGTATAAACTGCGGCTAACACCGTTAATACTGGTGAGTTAGTCATATTTAATTTGATCAACGCGCAAATGACTTTACTTTTGATAACCATATTTTGTCTTGTTTCTTACTCTCGCAATTCTATTCTCGTAGATTTAGGTCAAGCCGCCAAAAGTCAAATTTTAGGAAGTAAGTTGTGATAAAAGTTTGCTGTTAAAATTTTCAACGGACCAGAATATTTGCTGTAGAACAGTAATGTCTTACCCGGTTTTGGTAAAATACCTGGGTATTATAATCATTTTCTATGGTGCTTGTAATCTACTAGCTAACGATTTTTTAATTTGCTCAGGATTAGATATTAAAAATATATTAGATATTGTCATCGGATACCGGAACCTTGGCAGACTTCCTGAATTTTTACGAGATAATATTGAGGATCAAGAAATGGAATTAGAAGAACAGGAAGAACGAGAAAGTTCGGGGGAAGAGCTAGAAGAAATGCAGGAAGAAGAATTAGAAGAAGTGTTGGAAGAAGAGCTGGAAGAAGGTCTGAAAGAAGTGCTTGAAAGAAGAGTCGCCAATGTCTTCTAATTTGATCATCCACCCTGAAAAAAAACGGCTTGCGGTGATCAAAGGACATAAACTCTATGCAAGGAAAGCTTACAAAGATCTTTATCACATAGTTACCAGCGAGGATTGTGATCCCAGATTCCTTGTAAATCGAGCTTCCTGATTTATTTATTAATCCGGTTGTTGTGCAATAATCCTGATATCACAGTTATTTTTAAGCCAGATGAAGTAGATGAAGCAAGCAATTTATTATACTGTTTTGAGGGTACCAAACACCATGTCGGAACATTTAGAGACTTTTCGGATCAACTATATAACAATTCCAAAATTTGGTACTTGGTGGATAGCACACCTCCACTCGGCATCCAAGCAAGAACGGTGGTTTCTGCATCAGCAAGAAGTATTAAAAGCAGAGAGTTTAAAAAATTCATCAAGGATCTTGTTAACATCTTTTGCATGCCGCCATGGTCAATAGAAGAGTTAGAAATTTGCCAAAAGAAATCTTCCCGATGGTACCACCAGATTTGATGTACGACCTCATTGATGAAGCGGGAGGTATACCAAGATACGTTCTTGCACTACCAGCATCCATTATTCAAAAATTGAAAAAATGTGAGAATTCACAGTCTCTTAAAAATCGAGATTATATTGAGATTAAGAAAATGTCTTTAAAACATGTTGAAGACTCCCTCTCTGAAGTCAGCGATATCTCAAGGCTTGTTCAGTGCTTTTCTCAAAATGCTCGATATGTCGAATACAGCAGTCAGCTTATTCATCGGTGGCCTGACACTTTCTATAGAGAACATCGTCACTCATAGGCTTCTAATCGAATTTTTGATAGAATCGTGGCAAAACTGGAAGATGAAAGATGGAAAAATCTATTTTTGAAAATACAAGATCCTAATGATCTTTCCAGCTCTAGGGGGATTATGTTCGAGTCACATGTGCTTCACCTATTCAAAGTTGGTGGCATGAAATTCGAAGCAAAAAGTTTACAAAAAAATAAGGTAAAGTTTTGTATGGACATTTTAACTAGTATTGTAGTTAAAAAAAATTTAAAACTAAAATTTTCATTATTAGGGTGATCAGATCTTTTACGACGAATTGAATTTAATAAATAACCCAAAAATAAAGTACATCCGACAAGCTATCCATCTCCAAAATTGCGATGAGGATAGCATTATCAAGCCAACCATAAAAAATTTTGGTGCGGCTGCTGCACCAGACAGGATCTTTCAAATTACAGTGTCACAAAACCATCCCATTAAACATAGCGAACTGGTCAAAATAATTCAAAATATGCCAGCAATCAAAAAAAATCCTAATGCAAGAATTTATTTTTATTTTATTGTACCAGACAATATATATGATACATTCAGACACCAAAGATATATAACACCAAAGAAAAAAATTGGAAAAGATCTCGAGGCCTTTAAAGAAATTAAACGTAAATCAGCCATCCTCAATAATGTAGAACAATGGGCATTAAAAATAAAAATGACGCCTGAAATGAATGTAACTTCTGTGATTAATAACATGGTAACGGCAGTAAAAAAATCTTCTATTTAAGATTCAACCATTTTAATTTTTTTTTTTTTTTGCTATTAAAAAAATACTGTTGTGATTTTACTTTATTTTTGTTTTATTTTCCTTAAAATTAATATTAATTCAAAAGGGAGGTTTAGATAGGAGTAGAGTATATGGATTTATATTATTGGCATATTTACTAATATTATAAAGAACTAGCTTGACTGCACAAGAAAATCTTTTGATTTTTTTAACTATAGAGTATGATTATATAGGAAATAAAAAATAAAAAATTATTCTTTTTTTTTATTGAGTGTTATCCGCACAAATTCGATGCTCGAAGAAAAAAATTATTTATTTTGAATCAGCTGAATTTTTTGCAATTCTGACTAACTAAATTCTACACAGAGAAAGTATATCGCTATAGAACGGCAATTTATTAATTTATTAGTAAGTAAAATACTCGCTCACGTGATCTAGTAAACGAAGCATAAATTCAAATTTTGAAGCCCGGACTTTAAGCCAAGTATTAAAACCGGCCTGGACTTTTAATTTATGCTATTTGGCGATGCATACAATAATATTTTACAAATACCAAAAATTAGTAATATATTACCGCAAAGCATAACTAATATGGTTTACTTGATAAAATGATTATGTAATAATTTTTAACGTGTTATTAATTAAACTTTATGTTATTACATTTACGGCATAAAATATCTAAAAATCTAGCAATATCATATTATCAATCAAAATACAGAAAAAAGCAACAAAAAATTGGCTTAAACACTGAAAAATTTCGAAAAATATGGTTGTTTCTTATCCACAAGAAGAACAATATAAAATTCAATTGCATCTTATTTCAGATATATCTATATTAGAAAATCAAGTAGCATTATCCACAATCATATTAATCAAACTTCCTTATAATTATTCTGCTTCTAAATATGGAAAGTTTGGTATGATATAATTAATATTGATATAATTTCATTGATTTCAAATGGATTGGTTACGTAACTCACAAAAGAAAATATTGTTAAAGTTATGAATTCGACAGATGGATTGCCCTAAAAAAATTCTTTGGCATTCCAGGCTATGAAGTTATTCAAAATAAAAATGTATTTTAAAAGTTTTATTAAGTCATTAGGATAACTTGACAAAGGGAGGTGATTTGAAGTGGAAAAAGCATTTTCTTCTTAAATAAAATTACGTTTTTTGATAATACCTTTCAGAAAGTTTATAGATAACAAATAGTTGAAATTGATGAAATGCCAACACAAATAAATAATTTTAAATAGAACGCTTCTAAAACTAAAGAACGGGAACCGTTGTTAAGTCCGGAAATTTATCTAGACTTTTGTGCAATTGAAGAGTCAATCAGTATCGACTCAATTTCCCTCGCTTAATAGTTTTTTGTCATAGTATATCGATACTATACAAATTATATATATGGCCGGGCCGGATAAGTTGTCTATTGGCATCATATAGGAAGTATTTTCATAATATGGGCCAAAATATTAAAGTGAGAAACCAAGGATCTCAAAGTTCAATTATGCATGTATTAAAGAATGTTAATTTTGTATATAGAGGTAATGTATATCAAAGATTAATAGTTAAATATCATATAAACTTAAAATGATATTTCTATTATTGTAGTCCCCTTCCTATAACGACAGTTGGAACTAGTTAATTCTTAACCGGTTTCAACCTCTATTCCAAAATTTTGCTAATTTGTGTACATTGCTTAAAAAAATTTAAGACACTTTTAATTATAGCTTTAAGTATTTTATTTTTTGTTTATTAGGCGGGTCGGATCGCTCGCAAGCTACAACAATAATTTATTTAATATAAATTTTAATGTTTTAAGTAAAAACATGTTTGGGATTGATTAATTTAAAAAAATATACTTTATTTATAAATATTTTTTCTAATTATAAAATAATTGTTAGTTTGAGTCACTTGCAAAGACTTTACGAAAGACAAAACCAACATAAAATTCTTCTTCTTACGAAATGAAATGGTCTAAATGACCAAGAGAAACCATCTTTATAAATTGATTTCTTTGTAAGGACAATATGCCCAGAGGACAATCGGGCAATCCGGCATGTGGACAATATTGCGGAAGGCAATTTCGATCTACAAGGTCTAACTAAACTTGACAAAGACAATTTCTTAAGTGTCCTTGTTTTTCTTGTAACAATATCAAGATATTATTATTAGATCACATGCTTTTAAACATTATAATCACATAGTCCACGGTAAGCAATGCATGATTGGATATTTCGCCATGAAGTGGCAAAATTGACCAACTAATGTGTTGCTCATAGTATCTTGGCAATTACCCGTGAAATTATAATTATCCGGTTCAGATAATTAACTTTTGTTTTTGCTGAAATTGGTTATCTGAAATTGGGATATTGTATCTGAAATTAAACTTCAGATAGAATCTGAGTTTCAAACATGAGGTTGTTTTAAATTAGAATATCTGAAATTGAACTTCAGATAAAATCTGAATTTCAGACACAAGGTCGTCTGAAATTGAGATATCTGAAATTGAACTTCAGACAGAATTTGAATTTCAGATATGAGGCCGTCTGAAATTGAACTTCAGATAAAATCTCAATTTCAGATACAAGACTGTCTGAAATTGAGATATCTGAAATT